TAATTAATTGTGCGTATGGCTAGAGTTGACACAAATGTGATTCTAGGTTGTTTTGATTTGATTTCTTATGTGATCAAGATATACCAGTGTGCCCATTACTTCCTTGTTTATATTGTCAACGTGTGCTACAAATGTCATAAATCTGTCTAATTGTACTGTTGGGTTGGATAGAGCAGTCATCAAATTCACTGATTGTGCCGTTGGGAATTTTAGCCATGTTCTGCCGACCACCTATGAATATGAATTTAGGGCAAGATATTTCTAAAACGTCCGTCATACAGATAGCGACGATATTAGTATCGTTGGATTCCTCTCGCCGCATACAATGCAAATATGTTGGATTTACTGCGCGGCACCCCTCCCCCCCTATAAGAGACAATCTTTGCTCCAATAGCAGATGACATGAATGGTTCTAGGGAAAATGCAGGATCAAATAACAATATCGAACACAAAATAGGACTGCATACATTTAATAAACAATGGATAAGTCGTTACAGTGTATAATGCAGGGGCCCCAGAAGACAGATTCCATCACGTATGTATGGCAGGATAGAGCAGACTCATAAGGGTACTGAAACGTGTCCACAGAAGCAGCACACCAACTTGTGACATAGCATTTTATACTGAGAAGATTGTAGTATAATCCTGATGAACCGTAGATCCGGCGGTGGCCCACTCTCCTCGGCAGGTTGTGCGCAGTTCCCGAGGGGACGCCGATAACCTGTGGCGTGGCGTGATGATGTAGTGAAAACTTGCACATTCATTTGTAAGATGTATGGCAGGGTTAGCCACTAGATGGCAGTAATTATCCCATTTAGATACTGTACTGACTGTGTTATCTATTGCATAAAAATGTAGCTTCGAAATCGAGTCTCCCTTCTGGAAACCACGATGACTGTGTGTAGAGGGTGCTCGTACTTTAAAACGACATTATGTGCGAGGTCGCCACTAGTCACCTCCATCACCTTCAGCATCAACTGAGCACCCTACCAACCCTCAGCGGTATCTATCAATAAGGACAGTACCTTATATATCCTAGATTATGCAGTACCGTGTCCGCACCGCGTCTAGTTCATATGCGCTTTATCCTGCCGTGAATAGATGGAGGATTCTTTGTTTCCTTGGCGGCGTAGGAGGGCGGGCGGAGGGCGCACTCCTTGCATGAATAGTGATGTGATTTATAATTATGTTGTAAGCGTTAGATTATTAGTGTTATTTAACTCCGCATTTTCCCTCCCCTGCTATAAGGGCCAAGCGTGTTGCTGATGGGAAAGTTTCTGTGCAATTAAACCCAATATAATTACAATGTAGAGAGGAATCCAACGATACCGAAATCTTCGCGATCCGTTCGGCGTATGTTGTAGAAAAATTAGCACATTGAGTTATATGTGGATTTAGTTTAAGGCCATTTCTGTAAAATGTATTTTTGCCTGTGGAAAAGTCTGTTGGGTGTTGCTTATTAATGTATATAAATTGTTTACTGAGTCACTGTAAAGAAACTGAATCATCGGCGTACTGCACTGAGAAGCAGTTATGAGTTATGGTTGATGAATCATCTATGGAAATTGTGAAAAGGACCTAAAACAGATCTTTGTGGAACACCAAAAGATACTGGTTGTTTTGAGGACATAGTTTAATTCTTACCGATTAGATCCATGTACCTAAGTATATTTTTCTTACTTATCTTACAGAAATCAAATTGGTTTTGATGATGATTTTGTCAAATCATCATTTAAGTCACATAAGATAAAGACATTTCTCTAAAATCTGTTCACGATATTTAAAAGAATCCGAGTTTGCATGGACGTGCCTATAGACAGTGCCAATAATGAAGGTAGGAAGCATGTTGCTTTGTACGGTAATCCAGACACCTAAGGCAGAACTGCTAACTGTTTTAGCAGATATCCTGTTTGACTTCAGGGTATCCCATACTTATATCCATATTCCTCCACTTTGACTAATGCATATTATATCCATGTTTCTCTCCTCAACTAGCATTTTATTTTCTTCAAAATGTCCATTTATATGTTCTATTTTTATGACGCGATCTAGTCACGTCACGCTGACGGGGTAGCCTGATCAAACATTCTGATAGCGTTTGTACTTGTTTTTGTTTAAGAACACTTAAACATTGCCGGGATAAATAGATCGGGCTTTATGTTCTTTCCCCATACTGACACCGGGAAACTGGTGTAGTTGTCGTGCGTCAACACTGCCTTGTGAACTTTGACACTGGAAATGTTCTGAAACTTTTCAGATAAGTGGTGTTGTATGTTCTCTTCGTTTGTGTCTGGGTGGCTGTTAGGACGATCTGTTTCCTTTAACGGCTTTGACGTTCACTGTCCTCTGACTGATATTTTCTTGTTTCTTGACATAATTATTTGAGTATCCCTTTGAGTAACGTCTTGTGTTTGCTTGTTTCTTGTGTGGGCTTTGCTCGTCCTGCATAGTTGTTCATGATGACTGGTGACACTACTGGAGGAGGGGGGGGTAGCGGGTA